AAAAAATGGTTAGTACAACTCTTGAAGCCACTCTGCAAAGAAGTTGTAAAGCAAAGCTTGAAATATACCTTTAAATTTGTTGAAAAGATTCCGGATCTGAAAGCTCATGAGATCATGTGATATTCCATCTCCTTCGAAATAGGTAAACCTTAATGTAAGTGTAAAACTTTGGCGCTGAGGCAGAGCATAATTCTATATTAGGTTGCTCATTCTGTGTAGTAAATAACGCTTATTTAAAACAAGCAACAAGTGTGAAAAAAGCAGGATTTAATGAATTCATAAATTTCAGTAGTACTCGTCAGCTGGATACTCCACATACTTGATTATATATAACGTTAAGCAATGGAAAGCAGCATACATACATAGATAACGTAGGCTGAGACAGATTTAGGTGTAACAACATAGAAGTGAATACATTTTTGAGATGAATAGGGATTTTTAATTTAGAAGTAGTATTCATCATGGACTGAAATCAGTTGGCTAACCATTGAAAATCTGGAAGCACTGGACAGCTGTTTCATCCTAGTATGGGACTCCTCAGCAGTACGCACCCATGACCCGTGAAACCTTAAGGTCTTGAGTTCGATCCTTAGCCGGGTCGTGGATGCGTACTGCCGAGGAGTCCCATACTAGGATGAAACAGCTGCCCAGTGCTCCCAGATTTTCAATGGTTCCCCAACAGAAGTGAATAGTTTTTACAGGTCAAATAATAATCCAGAGGATAGAAATGGATATTCAAAATTGAATGGGTTGGGGATTGAGTTTGGATAATAGTGGATTTCAGGTAGGAAAATAATTATAATAACAATAATAATGTTGACACAGGGGTGAGAACTGAATCGACTAAGCGTCGATTACATTATTACATTACATTGTTATTATAATTATTTTCCTACCTGAAATCCACTATTATCCAAACTCAATCAACCTATCCCCAAGTCATTCAATTTTGAATATCTATTTCTATTCTCTGGATTACCATTTGACCTGTAAAAACTATTCACTTCTATGTTGTTACACCTAAATCTGTCTCAGTCTATGTTATCTATGTATGTATGTATGCTCCTTTCCATTGGTTAACGGTATATATATAATCAAGTATGTAGAGTATCCAGCTGACAAGTACTACTGAAATTTATGAATTCACTAAGTCCTGCTTTTTTCACACTTGTTGCTTGTTTTAAATTTGTATCGGGAAATAAATGTTTTCAATCTCTAAACAACACCTATTATTGGTAAATATTGAGAAAACAACCACTGATTGTGTTCTTTGGCATGGAAGTATCATGATCTAACCAAATGTAGCAATCAATATGACTAGTGAAAAACTACTAACAATAAACTGAGAATCTTCCTATTAAGACAATAGATTTCTCAATATCAGCTTAATACCATTCATCAGAAAGCTTTATGAAGTCATAGTTAGATGAATGAAAAATTATTTTATTCTTATAGGTGCCAGTGTGAACTTTCCTGTTTGCAAACAACTAGCAGATTGATTGCAAACAGTTTACAAACTGGTCTATATTAAACCATTTCAAATATGAGTACATATAAAGTTTAGTGTTATTTTGAAGGAGTCACACTATTTTTCGCGCCAATCTTCTAGGTCACTGAATTAACTGATCAATTTAAATATTTTAATAATTCCCATTGTAACATTATTGATAAAAATATGCGGGAAAGAAACACTAAACCAGTCATCCACTCGGTTTCAAAGAAAAGATTGTTTATGAGCCTAGAGTTTAAAGGAGACCTAGCATCGGATGTACTGAAAAATCGTCTTACCAGATCAATCAATAGGACTTTCTTCGCAGCAAGAATTCAGTTGACTTTTACCAGCCGCAACCTATTCTCCATCTGCGTCAAAGACAAGCTTCCTCGTTTGGCCGCCTCTATGTGCATCTACCAGTTCACCTGCTCCTGTGGAGCAAGGTACATCGGCCGTAGCCAGAGAATGCTTTCTACACGTATACGAGAACATGTTCCTGCTTGGTTTTATAAAGGTGAAAGAAAATCTGTTAGAAGTTCGATTCTAGAACATTTGATTGACTTCCATCACACAACAAATCCAGACGATGACTTTGAAATTATTTATCAAATTCGCCCAAACCTTTCACGTTCTCTTCGTTTTCAACTCCTTGAAACAGCAGAGGCTTTAGCTATTCATGAACTAAGACCTGATCTGTGTGTACAAAAGAAGTATGTGCAGTCACTATCTTTATCATGGCCATAACATTTCCCCACCCCATTAGCTCCCTCTCCCACTTTATTAATTTAACCTTTGTATCCTTCCTTTATCACTATTATTGTTATTATAATCGCCTTCACTTCAACTAGTTTCCGGTGTTGTTTCACTTAATTGTCTTAATCCTTTTAGAAAACATTGACTTCATCTTGTCCAATTTGTCTAATGCCATTACATAATACTTAATTGATTTACCATTTTCAACAATTTTTTCACCCCCTTCTGAGTTATATACTCTCTGTGTACCATTCCATGTATTACATAATCTACTTGTTATCATTCGCACTTCAATTGTTATTATAATCACAAATGCCTATGTCATCATCCGCTCTATTATTATTGTCATCACCATATAGTGTTTAGTTTTCCTCACAGGATATAATTTTTTCCAAATACCATATATATACGATTGTACAGCTTGAAAATAAATTCGTTGAAAAGAGTCTCTTCGCTCAATTTAAATATCACAAAACTCTCGACTAGATAATTAAAATATAGTGCTCACTTATATGAAGGTTATATTGGTTGTTTTAACCTTTTATACTCCCCCATTTGGCTTATTCAATAAAACTGACCAGTCTCCACATCCCAGAGGTAAAAAGAACGCTGAGCGTTCAAGGCAAATGCCAGTAACTCAACCGAAAAATTCCGAATAGTATACAGCGTCTATTGTAAATCCCTATTTTCACTACAACGCAATACCATCAGAATTTAACATGTAGAAACATAAAAGCATCCATCCATCCATCCATCCACACCAATGATAGCTGATCAAGCCGTCCAAGAATACTTTATAAACGAATCTTTCATAGGTGCCATTGGCAACCATTAACTTCTCCACATCCTGGAATGATCGTATCTTATTCTGTTAAGAATATAAACTTGATAAAAGCTGGATAAAGTGCGGTGCATCATACGAAGTAATGTAACAACATTAAGCAGACATCAAAAGTGATATAAAGGGAAGAAAACAAAAGGACAATCAAAATTTCAGTCTCGAAGACAAATTTAAAGAAGAATTCACTGCTTTCGTTTTACTTTTCAATAATGAAAGATACAGGAAAACTTCGGCATGATGGCCTTCATCTCGATTCTTAGCCATAACTGATATTACCTCGAATGACTGAGTCGTGTGATCTCGCGCAGCACATCTAGGGAGTCATTAGGCACCAGCAGATGTTGACCAACACAACTATTCTTCATTCCATGGTTACGCTTCACATGCTGACAACCTTTCTGCTTCTTCCAGCCAGTCCAAGGCAAGTGAACAGTGAGAGGTATTAGAGCCGGTTGGACGACATAAGTAACACATAATCAAGTCATAAAAGCCGACGTTTCATGATGAACAAACCTAATGAATGGCGGTCTCCATTGTGACTAAAAATCCAACCCGAAACTCACAGCTGCCTATAGAATTTTTCCATAGGACACCGGAAATCCTAAGAATTCCTAGACATCTTTAGCTTGGAGAGGCCAAGTTCCACTCGAATGTAGCAGAACCATCTAAATTGACGCGTTTTGCACCTAACCTTTGACAATAAGGTTAATGTTAAAATAAACTCAAAAGCTACTGATTTTGCGAAAATTCCACCTATGTTAGCACAACTTAAACAATCGAGGGTACATTGTTCCTTATCAAGGGTAACTGAAAGGCTTAAAACTGAGCTCGATTCAGAAGTAGTTTAAAAAGTCTTAAACCTAAACTGCTTTACAAATCCTGCTTAAAATATAATAATGAGAACTTGAAGATAGAACACTTTACCGTCTACTTATCAATTTTTTTCCACAATCCAATCATACAAAGAGTGTTTTCAGCAAGTAAACTTTTTAAACAGCACAAAGACTGAAACTCGGATGTGTGTATTTGAATCTGCACGACGGTGGGATGCAATTGACAGACAGCTGTAAACCTCTCTCCCATTGAAATTCACTAACAAGGTGTAATCCTAATCGTGATGGGAGATAATTCTTCTCGAAAAAACAAAACGTACACCACTCAACGCTGCATTTCACCAGAACTATGACTTCACTTGACTTCTGTGACGATAAGTCTACTTTATGTACTTCAGAAAGTGAAATTTTTGGATCTGTAGTATTCTTTCAATCACTTCAAAGATATCTATGACTTTGAATTTTTCAGTGGAAACGAATGTGTCCCGGTTACTGACGAAAACGAGAAACCCTGGGTTTTTTCTTTATATTCATTTTTAGTCTTCAGGTTAACAGAATATGATTTGAAATGTGCTGAAATTTTTAATCCGACGGGAAGTAATGCTGCAAGAAATTTTTACTTAGTGGTAATTGTAAACAAATATAATGATACGGGAAAATTACACTAACACCTTAAAAATGGTATTCTCTCAAACAAGTAATTTTATTTAAGTAGCGTGTCTCAAAAAAAGTCTCTGAGAATTTATTCCCATTAATTTGTAAGGAAATTCAGTAGTTTTTGAAAATCATGCAGTAACTATCTACACTGATGAACTGACTGTATCGTATAAATAGCAACTCTATAAGATATTTTTTCAAAGACTTTGATACTGATGGGTTTTCACAGTAATTTTTTGTAAAAATCATCAAGTTGGTTGACCAATCACCGGAAACTAAATAACCAAATACTAAAGTATTAAAATTATGCTGCATTGTGATAGGTAAGGGGAACAGGTTTTATAACATTCGAATGATTGAAAAAAAACTCTAATAATCATCTCTCACTTCATCAAGTAATTTTTAAAACAGTGAAACGCATTACCTGAAGAAGACCTTCTAAGATGCGCAGGAAGATTAAAATTTCAACTTGAGTACGTGCTGCGGCGGGCGTACAGAATTCGGTGATAGCACACCCAACAAGACTAGTGAATACCACCCACTTGGGACCAAACCTGAAGGCCAACATCCCACCTGAGAGCAATAGAAATAACATATTCTCAACTGGTTTATACTAGGTAAATCAAAATTTGTGATCACATTGACCCATCTTTGTATATACTACTATATGATATAAGTAGTTCGTCTTAGTTACATGGTTGTGACTAAGAAGTTCATACCTAGGAGCTAGTAAAATCAATAAACCTAGCCATCCAATCAGCTTCCACATTATTTCTCCCATACTATTGGCTCAGATATTTTTTATCAATTATTATTTCATCTGCAACATTTTTCTTGTAGGTAATAAAATGTTTTTGAGTCTCTCACATGCTGGTTGTTGTAACTGAGTGGGTACAGTATGAGAAAAGAATGTTTAGAGATTCAAACAAGTGAATTGAAATAAAACATTTGGAAGATATTAGAAAATAATGAACTTCTCTGTAAAATATGTATTGTTGTGGTGATATCAGAGTTTTTATAATGCGAAGTAAATGAAATTCTTGAAAGAGTTCAACCTTGAAATTTACTACTTAAAAACATTAGTAGTTAAAAATTACTCATGTTGATCTGTAAACTTTACTAATCAAATTAAAATGATATGAAAATCGATTGATAGCTTTGCTCGTTTTTGGGGCTGAATTCGTCGAAAATATGCTCAGTTCATAAGCTAAAGAGATCACACAGATTTCGAAAGTTAGCTTCTGGGCTTAATTTATCCAAGTACACACCTCTAATGAGCTGTGTTAAAATGAAAGGAACATCTGTTCAATTCTGTACACAAGTATTAACAGTTCCTAACTATCCATTTTATTCAGCAGTACATTTTGTTAGTTTATGACATTTCTGTGTCATTTCGGTTGAGTGGCCCCCAACACAAACCCAATTTGTATCACAACTACTCACCTGTGATAAATACCAACATGAATCTTTTGAAAATTTCATGTTGTCTACTGTAGAGTGCTGATGGACTTCTATCGATCACTGTGCGGTGCGGTCACCAAGTTACGAAACTCACAACTGCGTTGCACTTTGATAGATGTTATTTGGTTAGACGCAATCGGCAGGAAGCCCTGGGCCTAGGTTTCGTGCTTGTTGGCACTCGTCAGCAAGGAGGATCCGCAACATCAAGAGAACTGAAGTCTTCAGTGAGATTCGAACCCACTTCACCAAGTGCTGCAATGAGAGACGTTACCACTGAGCTATACGAGTCATGGTTGACCTTCTGGGGAACTGGAGAGCAACCAATTTCATGCTGTCTAGCGCTGAGTGCTGACAAGGACGAAACCAAGGTCCAGAGTATCCTACTAGTCACCTCCGGCTAACTGAGTAATTCAAGAGGACCTAACGAAATAAGTTGATGTTAAGTAATTCTGCTTGTTTTATCATTTATATACTTTCCACCTTCTGTTTGTGAATGAAATCGCGCAAATTACAGAGTTTATTTGTACAAGGAATCTCTTGACATGTTCTGACATCAAGACTGCAAATTGGCCGTCTACATTATTCACTTATGTAATAAGAGAATAATTTAGCACCACCAAGGCAACGTGTTTCAAACCATCTATAAATATATTTCCTACAATTGGAAATGTCAGTGATCTCAGGGTTACTTCTTCTGTTTGTTTGAATGCTTCACCCTAAAAGTGTAGACTGTAGAAGTCAAGCATACTTGCAGTGCAAGAGTAATTTCCTCCATTGAGATCTTAGTTCTAACTTTAAGCTCTTGATCAGGACTTAGTTCATTGGTGAGTACCTCAAGAAGCCTGTCCGTTGGTCTGCTAGCAAGGAGGCTTGTCACGTCAAAACTGACCAACTATCATCGAACTGTATTTACTATATTCCTAGTACCAGCCTTTATACTTTAATGAGCAGCGATTGTGAAACAATCATAATGCAGCCTAATATGATTCCTGACCATTAAGATACATCATGAATTATAGTGGTACTAAGGTCCATTAAAACCTCGCCTGGTTAATTAGTTCACTAGTTACTAGTCAATCCTGAGCCGGGATGAAAAAAAAAGGTTGGACATACGGCTATCAACCCAACCCCAGAAAACCAATCCAGTCGCTAAAGAAACTTCAAAGCACAAAGAAAGTATAAAACATAAAACTAAGCTTATTCCTTGCTGCAATCAGGGAGACGAGATGACGCCAGTCAGTGAAAGCCTTCAGGAAGCCAATTAGTCGATCTGTCTCCTCTTTCTCTCGATGACAGCGAAAGTAAGGATGGGGGCATGGAATGTTCGCTCCATGTTTGAACCCAGCAAGGCAGTCCAGATTGCAAAACAGATGAGGATGTATAACATAGAAGTGCCAAGAATCTGCGAAAGTAGATGGAATGGGAGTGAACTCTCCAAACTGTTAACTGGAGAATCAATAATCTACTCCAATATTGTCACCCAGACGACAACAACGAGCACACTGAGTTTTGGAGTGGCTATCATGATGTCCCCAACAGCATCGAAAGCTCTCATGCAGTGGGAACCAATCTCCTCCAGTATCAGGATCGTGACAGCAAGATTCAACTCGGAAGGAAGGAATGAAAGTCACAATCAGACAATGCTACACTGCGCACCTACAAATAATCCAGATGAAGAGAAGAAGGAGGAATCCTACAGACAACTGCAATCAACACTGGACAAGACACCGCTCAAGTTGGCGATATCAAAATTCCAATGAGCGACATGAATGCCAAACTGAGAGCGGACAACACGGGAAGAGAACTCATCATGGGTCAAGATGCTCTTGGTGAAATGAACGAGAATGGAAAACTGTCTTCATATTTCTGTGCAGTCAACGATTTGGTGACTGGAGTGAGGCAGTGTGTACAAACACAAGGATATTCACAAGGCAGTGACATGGATTTGATTTCACCAGACACCAGGACACACTACACTAAAAACTAGATTGACCTCATCTCAATCTCAAAAAGTGGAGATGCAGCTTACTGGACACAAGATCAAGAAGGGGAGCAGATGTAGGTGGTTCACACTACTCACCATCTAGTGCGAAGAACCTTCCAAATCAAGTTGAAAGGCTTCACACAAGTTTGTGATAGGCCACAGTTGAAGTTCAACACCCAGAAGAAAAAGTGAAGGACAAAACTACAAAGGACATCTTCACGGCAGCCATCAAGACAAAATGGGAGATATCGAGGAACATCCCTGAAGAAACTTGTGTGGAAGAGCACTGGAACGCTTTGAGAGCTATGTGGAAAGAAACCTGGATAACCGTATTAGGAAGGAAGAAGAAAGAAGATAAGGAATGGATCTTGATGGATACATGGAAGCTGATAGAGGAGAGGGGGATAGTGAAGGAGGAGATAAACCAGTGCAAGGATGCTCAACGACAAGAGGAACTGAGCACAATGTATAAAACACTGGACAAAGAAGTGAACAGGAGAAGGTGAAAAGACAGAAGACACTTCTACGACACATTGGCAAGTCAAGCGGAACAGGCTGCAGGTAGGAGAGACAGAGACCTGGCGACATTGTATCAAATAACCAGGTTGCTATCTGGGAGGAGATCAACGCAGGCGAAACCAATAAAAGATGATGACGGAAATTTAATTACGAAAGAAGAGAAACAAAGAAAACGATGGGCTGGCCGACCACTTCAAGAAGCTCTTGAATCGACCACAACCACCACCTTCACTTCGTCCAGAAATACCACCTGCAGCCGCTGAACTACCAGTGAACATAGGTCCTCCAACAAAAGCAGAAGTACTGAGTGCCATAAAGCCACTGAAATGTAGGAAAGCAGCAGCACCAGGTGGAATCCCGTCAGAAGCACTGAAAACAGACGCAGAGACAACAGCGGACATGCTCACACCACCACTGCAGGAGGTTTAGAAAGAAGGGAAGGTACCTGGCGATTGGAAGAAGGGCTACCTTGTCAAACTCCTGAAGAAGGGAGATCTCAGTGTTTGCAAGAACTGGTATGGAATCATACTGCTGTCCACCCCAAGCAAAATCTTAAGCCGCATCATCTTGTGGAGACTAAAGGATGCACTGGATTCAAAACTACGACCGGAACAGGCAGGCTGGCTGGCTTCAGGAAGTACAAATCATGTGCCGACCAAATTGCAACGCTACACTGAGCATCATCATAGAACAGAGCATAGAATGGCAGTCAACTCAACTCTACCTCAACTTCATCGACTTTGAGAAGGCCTTTGACAGCATCGATCGAGATGTAGTTTGGCAGCTGCTTCAACACTACGGAATATCGCAAACCTTTATCAGCCTCATTCAACAACTATATGAAGATGCCACGTAAGATGCCAAGTAATTCACAATGGGAAGCTCAGTGATGCCGTCGAAGTGAAGACAGGAGTAAAACAAGTCTGTCTACTATCACCCATGATCTTCTTGATTGTGGTCAGCTGGATCATGCAGCAAATAGTGAGGAGCGAGAAGAGGGGGATACACTGGACCGGGGAAATAACCTAGAGGACTAGGATTTCGCCGATGACTTATCTCTAATGTCACACAAACTTGAAGATCTACAGGTGAAAACTAACAAGTTGGCAGAAGAGTCAGCGAAGACGGGACTTCAAGTGAATATAGAAAAGACAGAGGTGATGAAGATACCCAACCAACAACACCACCACCAACAAACTCCAATCACCATGAACAGGAGAAACTTGAAGGAAGTAGCCTCTTTCACTTGTCTAAGCAGGACTATTTCAACTACAGGTGACGCAGACGAGGACATCAAAGCAGCCAGGATGGGAAAAGCAAGATAGGCGTTGATTAACCTGAAACCAGTGTGGAGATTTTCTGCACTCAGCATGTGGAACAAGATCCGGATTTTGAACACCCACGTCAAGTCAGTGCTTCTGTATTGTTGAGAGACTTGGTGCGTTACGAAGGGGATTTACAACAAACTACAGACATTCATCAACAAGTGCCTACTCTGGCTCGTTACTGAAGATCAGATGGCCAGAATAATGAGAATAAGCAACGAGGAACTCTGGCCGGGCAACAAATCAACCAAGAAGCTGTTGCTGAAAAAATATGCATTGGAAGG